GGACCTGCCCCCCACCCCGCTTCCCTTTGGTTCTGTGATTCCTGCTTCCATTTTTGATTCGGGTCGTGTCCACTTGCCACAGTCCTCACGCCTTCTCCACCCTCACCCCATTACGACCTCCTTGATTTGAGGCTGCCTCGCATGAGGCTGCCTCGCATCACACTGCCACCTAGCTGCCTTTTCACTGTGCTGCAGCCGCTGTGACTCTCGGGATACGGGTCACATCCTCCATTCAGCTCCAGGCGATCGATCAAAGCCCAGATAACTGCAGTGATAAGGCCTCTTTACGTCGGCTTCTTGTACTGTAGCACCTGGGGCCTGCAAAAGGCCCCCTCTCTCCTGGTGCCCCCCCCCCCCCCAGAGACCCGTAACGCTGGTGCCCTGTAGCACATTCATGTCTGTGGTAAGTGAGCCCGCTGGCATCCTGAGCCTTCTGGAAATCACGCCGTCCCTTCCTGTCAGTGTTACTGGAGGAAAACAACGAGTGAGCAGTTGGTGACCTGTGTTTTCATTTTGTTTAATTTCATCAGGTTTTCCTGCATAAGTTTGGTGAAATGCACGAATGTTCGCTGCAAAATAGTCGAATTAGAGCTGGTGGTTAATTATCGCGCCGGATTGTGCATCAGGTTTGCACCCTGCCGTTGTGTTCTTCACCGTTCCTTTATTATTGTGGTTCCTCTGAGTGACTTTCTTGTATCGTGAATCATCCCTTGCAGCACGGAATTCTTCTACAGTACCTGACCCTATTGACTTCAACTCTGATGTTTCATAGTATGGCTGATGGGCTACAGCGCTCATCACAGACATTCATTTTTACCCTGGAGGTTGTTGGATCAAGTCCCAGATTATAGAAGGCTTAGGGAAGGTAAAATGTCAACTAGGCATGTAGCAAGCAGCATTAGTCTTTTTTTGGTGCTTCAGTTAAATCTTAACTTTTCATACATTTTTTGGGGTCTGATTCAGATTTCAGTTTCCCATTTGAGGAAAGCTCTCTCTCTCTCTTCATGTTGACATGCTAAAATCTACCAGACAGTCCTTAGAATTTAGAATGTGTGTGTGTGTGTGTGTGTGTGTGTGTGTATACGCACATGTGTTTATGTTTTTGTAATCATTACATTGTGGAGACCAGATTTTCCCACAATGTGATAAAAACCTGTAGTGCCTTAACTTGCTGGGACATTCTCTCAGTCCCCACAAGAATAACCTCAACTTTATAAAAATCTGTGACTGCAATTAAACAAAAAATGCCAAAACTTGTATTTTGCGATTATGGTTCTGCCATGGAAATAAATGGAGAGTCCCCACAAAGATATGAATGAATATGTGGAAATAAATGGAGAGTCCCCACAAAGATATGAATGAATATGTGGACTGTGCATGTGACTGCATGTGTGTGTGCGCGTGTGTGTGTGCAAATGTGTGTATGTCAGATAAATGGAAAAAGTGGGGGGAAAAAACCCTAACCCTAATTGCAGTGGAGAGATTCCCACAAACCAGATTTTTTTACTCACAGTTTTTATTAAAAGACATAAGATATTTTTTGTTTTATGCATTTTGCTATGTTTCCATGTTTGAGTTTCAGTTGGGGTGGAATTCAGGAACATTAATTGCATCACTGGTTTTTGGAAAACAGGAATCTCTCCAATAACCATCTTTCTGTTCTGCTGAATTTATCTTGATGTTTTTTCCATTCTTCATTAAGTATTATTTTTAACACTAGCTATAAAGAGTAAGATTATAATATATTAGCTGTGTTCGATTTGGTTTTTATTACAGAATAGGCCTTGTAGTTTTTTTCCAGTGGGGTGTTTAATAGACTGGAGGAGTCCATTCTGCATGAATCTGTAAAGTATCTGAGAAAAAAATACTTTATTGACTAAGCTGAAAGCTGGCTTTCCAGAAGGCTGTGTCCTCCCTGCTCCAATAGATCAGCTCTCTTAATGCTTGAGCTTTCAGACAGTCAGACAGTGAGGCCCCAGGGCTCGGCCCCAGGGCTCGGCCCCAGGGCTCGGCCCATAGCCCTGCTTGCCCCTCCATGAGGGGCTCCCTGCTTGCCCCTCCATGAGGGGCTCCCTGCTTGCCCCTCCATGAGGGGCTCCCTGCTTGTGGGAGGAGTGACTGACTAACCGGGCACCTCCACTAATGGCGCAATCTTTGCTGTTTGCCCCAGCAGGACTGCTTCACGGTGGAAGGAGAGGACCTGAAGCACGACTTCGAGCGACTGCAGCTAGCAATGGAGTTGGTGGGCTTCCTGCCCACCACACGTAAACAGTAAGCCTGGACCGCGTTGGTGGGACAGGGTGGGCTTCCTGCCGACCCATTGATGAGGATTTCCCACTTAATGGTTGGCTGCGTTTGTGTGGCCCTGCGTCAATCAGACCAAGGCCTGTCTTCTTTGTGTTTGACGAGTCAGGAAAAGCTTTTTAATGCTGATGCAACTAGCTCATGTTCTCCTCTCCTTTTGCAGGATCTTTTCTCTGTTGTCCGCTATCCTTCACTTGGGGAATATCCGCTATAAGAAGAAGACCTATCGGGATGACTCCATCGACATCTGCAACCTGGACGTCCTGCCCATTGTGTCCCAGCTGCTCGAGGTGAGTCATCCCTGTTACGGCCCTTGTAAGAGCATCTGCATTAGGCCCGTTAGTCATTTTGAATCATTTCCTAGCTGTTGTGGCCAGCTTTGAATACGCTGCCACGCTTTTAGGAGTCTACGTCTGTTAGCCCTGCTGATGTAACCTAAGAGGCAGGCGGGCTGCGACGTGGCGACGTGCGCCAGACGTGCCTTTGGGGGAGGGGCAGCCCTCTTTGTGGACTGACAGGGCATCTGCAATCTCCTGCACCCAGTCCCCCTCCAACCCAAATCCTCACTGCTGTTCCCCAGTCCGCCCTCGCCCCGAGAGGAAGTCCTCCATTCTAAGCTGTTTAATACGATCCTTTCCAGCTAATACTCCATTAAAAGCTTTATTGTAACTGTCTGATTTGCTGCATACTAAAAGGAATGCCTTCCCAGAGAACATTTTCCTTTTCAGAAAGTCAGATGGGAAAAACAAGACTTCAGAGGAGCCTTTGTACAAATTATTCTGTTTTTCTCAATGAAATAATAAATATCCTTCCTGGAAGCAGGATACTGTCAATTAAGCTTTTATTTGATCATGTTCTCCGTATTTTCAATAGCTGCTCTGAATATAACATATCTAAAATGTCATTTTAACTACCTCCTAAATAGCTGTATGTGCCAGGCACTGAAAGGACTGAGTAGGTGCTTTGTAGTGCCTGAGGTCATGTGACCAACAGCCAGGCTGCCCCTGCCGGTGTCGCCTGCAGACGGCGGCTCCAGCTGCTCCAGCTGCTCCAGCTGCTGAATCGTGTCGGAATGTGGTGTGGAGGCTCTGCATAATTTAATTATCATATACGTCCCGCGCTAAGAAGACTTCCCTGTTTTAGAGTGTTAGCAGTGTTTCTGGGGTTTGGCCAATCTTCCGCCCTGCCCTCCGCATGTGGTTGCCCCCCCCCTCCCCCAGTCATTATTTTTACTGGTTCTCTGCTGCAGTCTCAGTGCATCACTGTTGCTGCATGGGGCTGCTAGCAGGGGGAAGCAGCACACATTCCTTAAAGCCTTTTTAAATGTGAGCTCCTAAGCCCACATGATGTAATGTGCGTCGCTGATGTTCCGTGCAGAGAGACCGGCATGCCACCAGCCCGCGGGCTGGAGGCAGTGTTAAGCGTGACCTCCAGTGCAGGTCCATTCCAGATGGGAACAGTGGCCGTGGGGAATGTCCACGGCAGGGCTCATAGGGGGGGTCCCTGAGGGAATGCCTCTGAATGAGGCACCATCTCTGAATGAAAGCTGCCCCTCCCCCCATGGGTTCCAGGCCACAAAGGCGAGTGCCCCACCCATGTACCGAACATGCCGCAGTGCTCGGGTACGCAGAGGTGCCAAGATCCCGTCACCGTCACAGTCTTTACCATCGTTAAAAATAATTATTGAGATGCTGAATTCACCCTTACTACTGTTCTGCGGTAGGTGAGGTAAAACAAAAAAACAAAAGCAAGACTAACTTGAAGTTCAGAAGCAGTATAGCTGCTGCAGTGGGTTTCAGATGGTGCATAAGGAGAGGAGTGTGTTCGCACTGCATTCCCAGTCCATTCCCAGACACAGTGGCCTCCTGTCTGTGTAAGTGTGTCGTGCCTCTGCTGCTGTCAGAAGGGCTCACTGGGGGAGCAGGTGCATTCAGTGTTAAAAACCAGCTTTGCAGGAACGTGAAGGACAGCCAGAGAGGCATATGGCAGTGTGCAGAAATAACCACACCCTGACATAGTGGGGAAAGTCAAACTTTCAGCATGGATATTTATGAATCGGCAAATCAGGGTGCAGTAGAGAAGCGTGCCAGACCTTGGGCTCGGTGGGAAGACAATCCCAGAGGGAGTGGGAGGGGCCTTGACGCTGTTTATGTTTGTGCAGCTCTACGAGGGGGGCCGTGTGACTAACACGTGCCTGTACCATGGAGACACACTTCCCATATTTGTTAGTGTTTAGGTGACGGTACGCACTTTTGGCTTGGGGTCTGGGGTTCAGGCTCCCTGCGGCTCACCTCACCGCTTCATCACTGTAATTACCCTGTTTCTCTTTGTTCCAGCTGATCAGCTAATTAAATTAGCCACAGTAGATCTGTGAGAAGAGCAAATGATAGGATCACACTGTGGCACATGGGACAGGCACCCTGTTTTCTTTAATTATGTGGAATAAAATTTTTGTGTGAGTCAAAGACTTGAAAAAATTGAGCTATGGGTGAGTTTGTGCTATTAATATTTGATTTTATTAAAGCTTTAGCTTCATTTTTTCTCAATTGTTCAAAACAAGTTTTTCAGAAGGAATGATTTTGATTCAAATTACATCCTGAAGCCAAATAGTTTAACATTGTAATTTGAAGCCGGATCCTCTCGTGTGCTACCAGGACCTGGCTGGTGCTCACCTCAGCATGCGCTGTGACCTCTGCGGACTGGGTGTTGCCCGTTGGCACCATAAGAATTAAGTGCAGCTGCTCTGTTTACACTCATGAAAATGTTTCCTTAATGGGAGATAATAGTTCATAAAATAATTGTGACAATTTTGCTTCCCAAAGCTGTCAAGGATGTAACAGTGGCAGCTTCCAGGAAGGCGGAAGGCCATCTGTAACTTTCGTCATCTTGAGGACACGGTGTCCAGTCACCACTGTGGCCCGTTATCGCTGGGATCCAGATCGCTTGCCTGTTTTAGGGGGGTGGTTTTACATATTTGGGCTGCTGCTCCAACTGGAACATGGGGAGATGCTAATTGCCAGGTGCCAATCGCTGTTAAATGCACAGATCCTTTTTGGGGATGTGAAGCACTATTACACGGCCGGCATTTGTGTCAGGGAGCTTCACTGGCGTCAAGTGGAAGCCAGTTAATTCTGTTCTTGGTAAAGGAACCTTTAACTGGGTCGACTCCAGGTGTATAGCTTTGTTTTTCATGTGGCCTGACCCACTTAAAGCCACACCAGAGTGTCTCAGGGGAGATACAGTATCCATATTCACATTTATTGGGTCACATCCTGCCATTAGGTAACAGAATCGCTCCTCTCCAATCTCTGTTGCTTATTTGCTGTAGCATCCTGCTCTCTCGTGTCACCCGTGTCCTTGTGTCTTGGACTGTCACTTCTTCATGACGCATTTCCCTCAGCTAGCAGATGTTTGCAGCGCGAGCCACCTGGGCCGTGGGGCAGCATCAGTAACCGAGAACATGTCTTTCTCATGGCCAGAAGCCATAGACATAACTAAACAATCCACGGAATTAAAGTCTGAGCTCTCGGTACTGGGCCCAAGAATCACAGAGTAACTGCTATTCTTCAGCCCTGGACTGTCAGCAGGGCGTTTGCTCGGCACAGCAAGGAACGCGACCCCTCTGACTGTGAAGCTGGCTTTGAAGAACATGCCATCTAGTCCAAGCAGAGGGTGAAGAGCTTGGGGTGTGCGGCTGAGGCTCGTCCTCTCTCATAAATTCACCGAGGTCTCTGCTTGACAGGTTAAAGAAGAGATGCTGTTTGAGGCCCTGACCACTCGGAAGACGGTGACGGTGGGCGAGAGGCTGATCGTGCCCTACAAGCTGGCTGAGGTACTGCTCGTCCTTCACCTCAGACACCTGCAGGGCCGGAATCGGGGCTTCTGGAAAGCTGAGGCCTTCCCACACTGCTGTGTCATGCCTCATGTCTGCACGGCCCTCAGAGACCCTGCCGTGAATGGAGAGACACCTCTTAAAACGTGGGATCACTCCTGTGTCCTGCACCACAGTCCGTTGACCATCCTGGATTGTGACCCAAGGACACACACCCCAGTTTGCAAAATATGATTCCTGAGTCACAGCTGTGTCTCTCGGAAAGCTGTGTGTAGCACTTGTTGTTCCGCGAGCTGTAGGTGCCTCGCGTTGCTCAGACCATTCATTCCGTGGTCGTTTGTGCCCGGGACGCATAGGGTAAATAGCTGGAATGAGAAAGTACTGGTTCTGACAAGATTATTTGCTACTGAGACGGGTGGGAAAAAATGGTGCAAGCTGATATCTCCCTTAGCTGTTTACCCTGTCCTGTTAGTAACAAACGCCTGGTGTTTTTGTGTGTTAGCGTGTTAGCACCTTTGTGTGTTAGAGGAATGAAGCAGTAATTTATTGAGGAGGAGAAAAAGTAAAAATCGGAATCTGACCTTTTCATAAAGACAGGAAGGGAAGTAGACTTGGCCGGTATGTAATATTTATATCATCCAGACATTATACTGCAGTAATGCGGTATTTTGGCGGTATTTTCCAGAGCAACGATATTCCAATATTATGAAATCTTTTTTTACTGCAAATTACCGTAACAGTAGCCAAGCCTAAAGTGAAAGGCAAGTCATGGCCATCAACAGGACACACACTGCCTACCATAAGTAACCTAAACGTAGGTCGGTCAGGGCTTGGCGGAGGAGGATGCGACCCGGAGGGTTGTGAGAAACAGCCGTGGCAGCGTCCTGCCTCGGCTTGCTTTGGAATGGAGACGTCACGGACTGGGGTGCGGTACATTTTGGGTCTTTCTCCCAAATCCAATATCTGAAGTCGTGATCTTCATAAATTAACCTGAAGCTTTTTCACACCTCTCTCACACCTGAATATGCTCATCTGTATGTGATCTGATGCTGAGTGCCACTCGTTCACTGATATATGGCTGTAATCTCACTCTGGCAGATTGTGAAACAATCTTTCCTGCAGCAGCGGCTGTGATTTTCTCTATTTACATGGGGATACAGCGGCCCGCCTGATAGGCCACCTTGACCAACAGGCCGTGCGTGTCTGTATCACCATGCAAGTCTTGAGTCTGGCGTGGAACGACTCACACTGATTTCCTGTGATGGGAGGGGTTCAGTAAACATGGAAAGGCGGGGGAAATGAGGCTGTGGGGAGAATGAATGGGAGTGGAATGCGCTTGTGTGTCTCTCACTGCGATTTTCAGTCACTCATTAGTGATGATGTCATTTTGGTGAGGTCTGACCTGGGCCTGCCAAGCTTACTCCTCCAAAATGGAGTCACATTCTCAGCCTTGTAAAACTCTGGTAACAGCCTGATACCAAAAAGAAATCCGCCAGAATAGCTCTTGCTTAGCCATCCTCCGTTACATTGTGGCTTTTTGTGCATCACCAAATAGTCTGCTAATGTATCCAAAACAAGATCACCACGTTGAATGTTAAAACTGTTCAGTAGTTTCCATCCTTTGTCAAAGAACAAATGAATTTAAATGCCTGTTATGGTTAGAGAACAGGATTATCTTGTTCTCGGAGTAGTGCGGTAATCGTATTTGCTGTTCCTGCGTCCCAGCTACATGCCTCTCTGCTGGAGCGTGTCAGCATGTTTGTATGCCAGGCCGGTTGACTAATAAGTAGCTTATCAGTGATTTATGGCTGCTGTAGTTGCCCAACCTGTTCTCATGATCATGATAGCGCCCCGGGCCTCTTCCTCCAAATCTCTCGCCCGCGGTGTTCTGCCATCGGCTTTCCGCTCCCAGCATCTCTGGCCTCATCCCCTGGTGGCGATCCCCCTGAAGCATGCGCCACTGATCCGGAATGTTCATCCTGAGAGACAGGCTTCACACCGGCACTGAAAGCTATGTGTGTGCATATATATCACAGGAATGTTTCCTGATTTTTGGTTGAGTCTGGTCTGTTTTGTTTTCGCGTGTATTCATGATGCGCATTGGTGTCATGTCAGCCCGTAATACGCAAGTAAAAGACAGACCTCAGGCACTTCTGCACCGTTAGAACCGACTGGATGAAGGTGATGTCATTTCTGTGATTTCCCCGCCATCCCCTTCAGGCCTGCCACTGTTTTGCCAAAATAATGAGAAAATGGCAGAAGTGCCATGAAGCTCAGCAGTGACCAAGTTTCATGGCGTCTGAACTGAATAGGTTCTTCCTCCGTTTATGGCACGTATCTCGTATCGCTTGTTGACTGAGGTCTTGGTCCATAATGCTCCTTTTCTCCCCCATTCTTTATATCAGTTAAGTATTATCTCTGAGGAACAGCTGAGACGCCTGGTCGGTCTGTCCCATTTGTCCCGTCTGAATTCTCCATGGACACCAGGGGGTGCAGTACAGACAGCAGCCCAGATGAAAAGGTCAGGCTCAGTTGGCCTCCTGTAACATGTTGCCCTTGTTGTTCTCAGGCTGGCACGGTGCGGGACTCGATGGCCAAATCGCTTTACAGTGCCCTGTTTGACTGGATCGTGTTCCGGATCAACCACGCCCTGCTCAACAACAAGGACCTGGAGGAGAGTGCCAAGGTGAGCCCATGAGGCAGGCTTCTGCTTTGGACTGCAGGACTAGTTTGGGGAAAGGGAGGGTATCTAGGTGGACCTCTCACATTAACAACCCAAGGTCTGTTCTAACCCCCCACCCCCCCAATCCCCCCACCAGAACCAGGGAGTGTTCTCCTGTGTTACCCGTTTCCTTTTGCCCACATGTGGTATTTGTGCAGGGGCATTCTGGGAAATCTTCATGAACAGTGCTTTATTTTCTGGACAGTAAATGCCTCTGGTATTCCGAATGGCTGAGCAGGGGTGTGACATATGGCGCAAACCTGGCGCCCCCCCCCCCAGATGGACACTACGAAGGACTAGTCCTCTTAATGACTCTGATACGTTTATTTACCATTTGTGTAAGTATGATTTCAGGTGTACTGGAAGTCTTGATTTTCCCATTTCCCATGAAGCTCCCATGGGACATACGGTCATTCAGGTGAGAGAGAAGCTTGGGATCAGAGCAGCGGCTCAGCCGTACATTCATCTGGCACCCCTGAAGTGCTTTTTGGGGTTAAGGACCTTGCTCAAGGGACCATATGTGATCCTCCAGACACGGTCACAGAATCCAGCTCCAGAGAGGCACACGGCGGCATTACGAATGCCATGAAATATGGACGGTACTGCAGAGGTGCCTGCTGTGCGGCCGGACAGAAGCCGCATGCCTGGGGAGAAGTCAGGAATGATGTCTGGAATTCTGTCTCTGTGACTCAGCATCTACCTGCCTCTAGTCTCCTCTGACACATATGTGTTTGAAAGCTTTCAGCTCTGTCAGTCGCTCTAACGCCAACAGCCCATGGTGAGGCTGTAATAACCCTGTCCGGGGACTCCAGCATGCATTGCTGCGCTTAGGGTGATACTTGAGGTTAAGGCCCTCTGGGAATTAGCGGAGCGGACTCGCTGGTCTGGGAATTAGCGGAGCGGACTCGCTGGTCTGGGAATTGGCGGAGCGGACTCCTGGTCTGAGAATTGGCGGAGCGGACTCCTGGTCTGAGAATTGGCGGAGCGGACTCGCTGGTCTGGGAATTGGCGGAGCGGACTCGTTGGTCAGGGATTTACCGGGGCGGACTCGTTGGTCTGGGTTTACTGGGGTGGACTCCTGGTCTGAGAATTAGTGGAGTGTACTCGCTGGTCTGGGATTTACCGGACCGGACTCGCTTCTTTGGGAATTAGCGAAGTGGACTCGCTCCTCTGTCTTTACCTAATTCTGTTACCCTCCCTCTTAGCCCCTGCACAGTCCAGATGTTCTGTTTTTTCTGTCTCTTCTAATTTTCTCCCTACATCCTTCCCTCTAAGATCCTGTCCATTGGTGTGTTGGACATTTTTGGCTTTGAAGACTACGAGAGCAACAGCTTTGAGCAGTTCTGCATCAACTTCGCCAACGAGAGACTCCAGCACTACTTCAACCAGCACACCTTCAAGCTGGAGCAGGTGAGCGATCTTGCCGTCCGCCACCGGTGTGAGTGCTCTCGTCATTCATCGTTGGTGGTGTCTGCATGCATGGACAGCAGCCTGTTATGTCCAGTTGGACACTTCCACTATCAACCTAACTATGCTGTGTCCTCTTCCCAGTGTCATGAATCATGTCACATATGACATGCATGCCTACGCCTGCAGTGGGTGCCACGCATCCTGACAGAGGGTGGGAGGGAAGGGGTTTGCTGGCCGGCTAGAGCAGGCTTCGTCCTGGGGGCCAGGGGCGGGGCGTCCCCCTGTGTCGGCTGGAGCAGGCTTCGCCCTGGGGGCCAGGGGCGGGGCGTCCCCCTGTGTCGGCTGGAGCAGGCTTCGCCCTGGGGGCCAGGGGCGGGCCGTCCCCCTGTGTCGGCTGGAGACTTGTGGCTGCAGTATGAGGGTTTTGATGTTAAGCTTGAATTTCTGGAATGATTAGATTTGATGGAGAATCCATTTCTGTCTGACGCCTCCTTGACCCTCAAGCTGCTGTGCCATTATTGGCTCTATGACACATTCGGGGAGAATCCTACAGGCTTACACTGGGATTAAAAATGAACATAGCACAAAGGGTAGCTGCATGGTGTGTGACCTTGTCATTCCAGATCTGCAGACTGTGCACTGGCTTGTTAAAGTAGTTTCACTAGGAAACAGCTCTTCTGTGCTCCTTAAGAACTCAGAGAACTGTGGAGACTGACATAGCAGCCATGTAGTACAGTTCTGTAGCAGCAGGCTTTGTGATGATCAAATCCACCTACAAAGGCAGCCATCTGAAATCATCATCATCATCATCATCATGGCTTTTGCCAGAGATCTCTTCAAGATGGGGCTGTTCTCCTGTCTGGAGGACGTTTGCTTTGCTCTTGGGAAGCACTCTGGTCCCATTGTCCTGAAAGATAGTGTCTGTGGAAAATGCAGCACTGGACATTTGAAGTTCTGTGTTGCCGTGCCGAGTGACAGTGTGGGGCTGCTTCATAGCAGCTCTGAAGGCCGGGCTGGCTGCTGCTGTCGCCTCCCTCCCCCACAGCAGACTCTCTGTGTCGGGATCTCCCCTATGCCGCACATGCTGTACTGTTAAGGACTGTACTCATAGGAGCGTGATTTGCAGTCAGCAGCTGTCAGCACACCTACACGTTTATTTTCCATTTGATTTCATTACCATCTTGTCCAGTCATCCTGATATACGGGAGCCCTCCTCGTGCAGATAGGGAGAGAGGCACCGTGGCTCGGCCAGCAAGCCAGCCGCAGATCGGCGGAGTGAATGTCATCTCGCATGTCTGATTATCCCAGCCTGGAAGTTATGGATACGTCCATTTATCAAATGCCTTGTGTCTTTTCAAACGTGCACATGCTCGTGCTCCATCGATCACCTTTTGGTCACCGTCCCGGAGCTGAGAGCTTCCTCTCAGGAACCCAGCAGTGCTCCCTTTAAGATTCTCCTTCTGAGCATGCTCCGGGATGGCAGAATCATCCGAATGAATACCTTTTTTTTCGTGTGAGAGTATTTGCCGCTCCCGCTCTTAACGGGAATAAGTGACCTTTCACTCCCTTCGGACAGTGTCTGTTTCGGTTACTTCTAAGGTGTGATGCCGTAATTAAGTAATACTGATCTGTCTGGGCAGTTTCCTTTGGCACGGAGAAGCACTTCTGCCATTGGAAGCTCGCTCCATTCTTTCACACCATGATGGTAATGTTTCAGTAATGGCACAGATCATCACGATACCATAAGCTTGGTTTGTCCTGTTTGAGGTGGATTACTGTGAACACAAATGAAATGCATCATGGGAGTTGTGTAATGGCCAATGGGATTTTGCTGAATTATTGCAGAATTATGTTGCGTGGGTTTTATTACGTCAGCATTGGGGGGAATATCAGGCTACAGCCTCCCAGGGGGTTTGTTTTTTGGTGTTGGCCATGGCTTTTTCTTTTTCCTGCACTGTGCAGTTCTGCAGTGGGACTGTGTCCATCCAAGGCAGTGTTCCGGTGTCAGTAGGCGGGGCCCCGCAAGCCGGTGTCAGTGGGCGGGGCCCACTGCGGCCCCTTGCCGACCCACATCCCTGCCCTGTGTGCCGCCCACCGCTCATAAATGCAGCCCGGCCTCTTTGCACACTGGCTTTCCTTTCGTAGTTACACCCCCACGCTCTGCCCAGCCATCTACGGTATTGCTGTAAATTCTTTCACTTGCTTTCAGGTGGTTACTGAAGTTCATTTGTGCCCTCAGCCAGATGGCTGCTTGCTGATGAGATGCCCAGAGTCACTGCCGGTCCCGCCGGCTCCGTTTCCGGTGTTTTGGTTTTATTGATATTGTATGCAGCAATGAATCCCTATCACTATAAAGCTGGGAGCAGTACTCAGCAGTATATGTCTCATTTCAGACCAGTACAAGCTCTCTCCCTTTAGCATTAAGTAGTGTTAATTGACGTTGATTATACATGAATTGGCATTTTCTGTGTTCAGCTCCAGCCACCCAGCTGGCTCCCTGTACAGCTACATATCCTACCTGAGTGGCTCATGGCTGCAGTACATCCCATCACCACAACACTACTTTCTGAAGTACTGAAACTTTAGCATGGGAACAATCCCAGTTTTACACTTAATAGAAATAAATGTGATTCCAGAACATGTGACTTCCTTCAGCACCCTGTTACCTCAGTGTACACTGAGCGTGGGGGGGCAGGCCTTCGGTCGTTCAAAAGTGTGCAATTTACCGGCAGCACATTTATCAAAAAGAGAATTTTTCTCATGAGCAAATCCGCAAAGGTTTGGGTGGCAGTTTTGCAGTGTTTGTTTGCAAAAACACTGCCACTGGACTTCAAGAACTTGCTCATACACCGTAACACAGCGGCCCGAAACACAGCGGCATTAACCTCATCATAACTTGGGCTCTGCTTGATGGTTAGGGTGGAGCAGACTTTCTGCGCTTTCACTGAAGGAGCAAAGATCAGACCTCTCGTGGCCAGTGATCCGTTTGAACACAGGAAAGTATGTGTCATACTGGCGCTCCTCTGGGAAGCCGCCCCACGCTTTTCCCGCAGCCGTCTTCAGTTGGCTGCATGTTGTCAGGGTGTTGCATCGTTCCAGATCCACACAGGATACCGCTGAGCTTTGGAAACCCGGCAGCACTGCGATTCTTAACACACTTGTTCAACATGCCTGCCACCTATTGTCGCTTTGCACATAGAAATATTTTTGTGTGTTTGTTCTCCTTTACATACACAGACCATGACTCCATTATGTCAGGCCTTAGAACCCCATTTAGCCTGTCTCCTCATTTATCAACATCTGTACTGATGGACCCTGAATTTATCAGATCGATTATGGGTGTGTCTTTTGAGGAAAGAGCAGGTGTCCCTAATATTTCTTTGGTTCTGCTGATATTGTTGGGCTAGCGAGCCCTAGAGGCATCTTTCTGGATCTCGTGTGCATCCCCTTCCATGTTACCCCAGTTGCTTTTCAGTTTTCGCCCAGGTGGACTGTCACTCAGAATGCTCTGCAAGTGCTATGGTGGGTTTTTCCCAGCAATTGGCCTCCAGAAAGATTCCCATCCTATGGTGCGCTCTCTCATGCCGTGTGTGCTGCTGTCTCTCATCCCGCATGTGGCGCTCTCTCACATCCCACCTACAGTGCAAGCCACCTCACATCCCACCTGCAGTGTGCCCTCTCACATCCCGCATGCAGTGTGGAGAGCCAACATGTGGCGCCCTCTCACATCCCACGTGCGGCCCCGTGCCCTCTCACATCCCGCCTGCAGTGTGGAGAGCCAACATGTGGCGCCCTCTCACATCCCACGTGCGGCCCCGTGCCCTCTCACATCCTGCCTGCAGTGTGGAAAGCCAGCAGTGTCCGAGGCCCCCAGAATGTGGCATGTTGGCTAAAGGCGGAGCCCCTGCTTTTTCCTGTAGCAAAAGGCGTTTCCCTGGCCTGGGTGCCAGCTTCGGGTATTTTTAGAGCCCATTTGTAAGCGGGCTGTCATGGCACCCCGATGGGCGGGCAGTGGGACGCAGGCAGGCCGCCTTTGCTGATTACTGTTTTCATTCCATTCCCTGGGTGGGACTGACATGGATACCTTATTAGGTTCTGCTAGGATCTGTGTGTGCCAGTGAGGCTTCCATACTAATCTGTGTGGGGGAAGTGAGATAAAAAATCATTAAAAAAATAGTAACATTATCTAGTTGTTCCAGATGTATTTTTACTTCTGTTGAAAAGAGGAGGAAAGGGGGAAATCATCTCATTGGTATGTTACTGAGGATTGTGTTCTCTACACCCCCCACCTTTAAATAAAAGGGTAAAATACCCACTGGAAGGAGAGTGGATTGTTTCACACTTGGCAGCACTTCGCTGCTCAGATGTTATTTTGGTATGAATCCAGCAACACATGGCGCCTGGGGAAGTAGGCGACCCTCAGCTGTAGGCTGTGATGTCACACGCTAATGGGTCCTTGGATCCGGCGGACTTTCTCCTGGACCATAGAGGGCGTCCTTAGGAGGCTTACACCGCCCACAGTGGCTGTCTCCCCCAGCGCTGGGCCATGGCTCAGGGCAGCCTTTAACAGCAGAAAGGGCACGGGAGACGCGGGCACATGGGCATTGCTGCAGACAGGTGTTGTCCTCTCCATCCCCTGCAGGAGGAGTACCGGTCTGAGGGCATCGCCTGGCACCACATCGACTACATCGACAACACGGGCTGCATCAACCTGATCAGCAAGAAGCCCACGGCTTTGTTCCACCTGCTGGATGAAGAGAGCAAGTGAGTGTGCAGAAGCTTCCCCCACGTCTGCCCACCCTGATCATGCTAGCCAGCCGGCTGCCCGATGCTAAAAAATGACTGCAGTACAAATAGCATGTGCACATTCTGCCGGTCATATATGGCTGCTCTGACTCAGACTCCCCTTTAATCTAGTAACAGTCCTGTGTCTGACTCCACCTCGCCAAAGTGATTAACTGTTTTTTTTTACTGATCCATGATGTCATGGTAATTAAGCCCTTTGTGCTGGTTAGGGTGGACCTTGGCTAACTTGGGGCCCCCTTGAGGCAGGAATGAACGTGGCTGCCTCAGCTTACTCTCTGACTGTATGACAGATTGGCATTTTTAATGATAAACGTGTCCTTTAACAGGCTGTTCACCAAAAGAGAACGTCCTTCCTTGGCGATTTTAAATATTTCCCAAACACCTAACAATTAAATGGCTCCCTTGTTAATGTTTTTTTTACTATACAAAATGCAAATAGATTTGAGCACAGCAGAGCTCAAGTTGGTAAAGAAATGCATTTTGAAAAGTGCTCTTATAGACTTTTAAAGCCTGGTCCTTTTTCAGTTTCACATGAAGAGTAAGTTTCGGGGCTTTCAAAGCACATCTGGATTCAATAAACTGTTGTATTCAAGGCTGGGCTGTTTGCGCAAAGAAAAAGGTCAGAAAGGCTCTGTATGCTTTAGTGACATTTATTTATTCACATAAAAGGTGATCTATAGGCTTATTAATTGCTCTGTAATTCTGGCACACAGCCTTAAAAGCGGAATAGGAAGCTAGTCAGTTCCTAGGTCCGGTGACGTGTGCCAGCATTCCGGCATAGAGCGGGGAGAATGAGAAGTATGGCGTCAGACATCGTAAACACACCACTGGGCTCTTGTACAGCTCTCCTCGTGAATAATGACCATGGTGGGTCTGTAACCTAATATCTGCCTGAC